GGCAAGTGGCTGATCGACTATGCGTAATTCATTCTAAAGGATAGTATAGGACGTACTATCATACACCATTCAAATATCGGTTTTGTTAAAATTATATTTTCGAATAACTTTTAATATCGCATGTGTTTTAAGCTGTTGCACTGTTATACCGCGGTGTTAAAGCTACTCATTATTGAATCAGTTAGTAGCCATGATAAATTTAAACAGCATGGTAAGAGGACGGATATTATCTGAAATATGTGGTGTATAGCACTATATTTCAGACTATCTGATCACACAATAACTTGTCGAATAACTTATATAAAACTTACAAGGCCTAATTCCGTCAATGGAGTTATACTTAACAAAGTTGACAAGAGTAGAACGAAAACAAGAGAAGAAAAAAGTAAAAGGTCAAATCACCATCATAGTTTATTAATTACGGGTGAAAAACGTCCTTTCTCATCAATAGCGAAATATATGTTAGAAACTGGTCATAAGATCGATATGAAGACAACTTATAATGTACTGTATAGACATGGTCAGGGACAAATGCTTGGATTTATCGAAGCACTTTCTATCTATAAATTCAAACCCCTTCGATGTATTCAGAAACAGTTTGTACTTACACTAAACCTACCCTGGTAGTATAAAGTTTAACTATTCATACTATTAGTGGTGGGGATTTGACCTTCTATTGTTATTTTTTCCTCTCTTGTCTTCGTTCTACCCTTGTTATTTTTCTTAATTATAATTCCATTGGATTCATTAAGCTTTCTAAATTTTATAAAAATTAGTCAACAAGTTATTGTGTGATGAGATAGTTTGAAATATAAAGTGCTATACACCACATATTTCAGATAATATCCGTCCCCTTATTACTTTGTTTAAAATTACTCATTATTAACCTACATGAAACAATGTCTATTAATTATAGACACATTGTGATTTCGAAGATTTCGTTGGCTTGGTCAGGTTCTTTGTACAAAGATACTGATAGGATAATGTACGAAAATTGTGCATCTGTAAAAAAAGTCCAAGAATTAGGGCACTAGGAACAAATTCGTCCGAAAAATTGAATTATTTACAATAATGGAGATATGTTGTTTTTATGAGATAACTTTACATTCCCTTGATATATTTACTGTGTGGTTTTTAGTTCTGAGATGTTGAGTAAATTCGTAGTGGCCTATGTAAATCATGGAGGCAGATCAATTTTTCAATGAATTTATTTTTCACAACTACTCGGGGCTAGGAGTTCACCATTTCGGTCGGTCCGGTTTTGAAAATGATTGGAGACAGTGAGTGCATTTGAAATTCTACATCCCGTCGCATTATATAGAGTAAACCTTATAAGAAGTAAGTAACGAATCCTACACACACCATGCGGTGTGTGTCAGATCAGGGAGTGGTTGAGTGATGTGGCTGAAGCTTGAGTTTGCATAAGGTAGTTAAGCAAAAAGGTGGTTGAGGTATTTTCTATGTGAGGCAAACAAATCAGTGAGACTATGGGTAACGGACAGTTCACTGACTTTTAACTTAAAACAAATAATGATAAAATATTTTTAGCACCAGCTAATTCGTCTGTATTTGAGGCCAGAACAAGTTACAGGTTTGTGTTGATAGATATAAAATCTTTATATCTGAAGGGATGTTACTGGGTACTATCACACACTACTTATGAATACTTTGTAACTCTAATTAACATCTCAGTGAGTTATTTATAGTTTTGTATTGTCACTAGTCTCAGGACGTTCAGCAAAATGATTTTATTATCTATTAGCAGCATTGTTCGGGAACCTCTCCTGGTTAACTAGTTCACTAGTTACTAGCCGGTCCTAAGCCAGCAACCAGCCAGAAACCATACCCCGTAAAACCAATCCAACTGCTAAAGAAACTTCAAAGCACAAACGAAATATTTTTAAAAAAAGTATTTTTCTCGCTGGAATCGGAGAGGCGAAATGACGCGGGTTGGTGAAAGCCTCCCAAAGACAATCGGCCGACGTGTCTTCTCTCTCTCCCGATGAAGCCGAAAGTAAACGTGGGGGCAAGCACCTACAAATAATGCAGATCAAGAGAAGGAGGAGGAATTCTACAGACAGCTGCAATCAACACCGGACAAAACCTCAGTTGGCGACAGCGACATCAAATTCTAATGGGCGACATGAATGCCAGTCAAACTGGGAGCGGACAACACAGGAAGAGAACTAACCATGAGTCGAGAAGCGCTCGGTGAAATGAACGAGAATGGAGGACTGTTTGCAGAATTCTGTACATTCAACGATTTGGTGATTGGAGGCACTGTGTTTGAGCACAAGGATAACCACAAAGTGACATGGATTTCCCCAGACACAAGGACACACTAAAGATCAGATCGACTTTATCTCAATCTCACGAAAGTGGAGACGCAGTCTACTTGACATAAGGTCAAGAAGGGAAGCAGATGTAGACTCAGACCACTATCTAGTGCAAGAAACCTTCCAGATCAAGTTGAAAGTCTTCAAAGAAGAAGTTGGTGATAGACCATAGTTCGAGTTCAACACCCAGGACAGAAACTGAAGGACAAAACCACAGAAAATATCTTCACGTCAGCCATCAAGACAAATGGGAGATATCGAGCAACATCCCTGAAGAAACATGTGTGGATGAGCACTGGAACCCTGTGAAAGAGATACGTGGAAGGAGACCTGCATAACCGTATTAGGAAGGAAGAAGAAATAAGATAAGGAATAGATCTCTACCGACACATAGGAGCTGATAGAGCATGGAGAGGAGGATGGTGAGGCAGAAGATAAACCAGTGCAAAAATGAACGACGAGAATAGGAACTGAGTACAATGTATAAAACACAGGACAAAGAAGTGAAGAAGAGTGTGCGGAAAGACAAAAGATACTTTCACGGCACACTGGCAAGTGAAGCAGAACAGGCTGCTGGTAGGAGAAACAGACAGCATTGTATCAAATAACCAGGTTACTATCTGGGAGAAATGAGATCAACACAGATGAAACCAATAAAAGATGATGAAGGAAATTTAATTACGAAAGAAGAGAAACAAAGGAAAGGATGGGCTGACCAATTCAAAAGCTCTTGAATCGACCACCACCACCACCTGCACTTCGTCCAGAAATACCACCTACCGGTGAACACAAATCCTCCAACAAAAGTGGATGTCCTGAGCGCCATAAAGCTATTGAAATGTGGGAAAGCAGCAGGACCAGATGGAATCCCTCCAGATTCATTGAGAGCAGACGCAGGGACAACACTATTAAAGAAGGTCTGGAAGGAAGGGAAGGTACCTGGCGATTGGAAGAAGGGCCACCTTGTCAAACTCCTGAAGAAGGGCGACCTAAGTCTTTGCAAGAACTGGCTCGGTATCACGCTCCTGTCCACACCAAGCAAAATAATAAGCCGCATATTATAGGATGCGCTGGATTCAAAACTACTACCAGAACAGGCCGGATTTAGGAAGTACAAACCCTGTGTGGACCAAATTGCAACGCTTCGCGTCATCATAGAACAGAGTATTGAATGGCAGTCAACTGGATCTTCACCTGTACTTCATCGATTTTGAAAAGGCCTTTGACAGCGTCGATCGAGAAGTAATTTCGCAGTTGCTTCAACACTACGGAATACCACAAACCTTTATCGATCTCATTCAGCAACTATATGACGACGCCACATGCCAAGTAATTCACAGTGAGAAGCTCAGTGATGCCTTTGAAGTGAAGACAGGAGTGGAACAAGGCTGTTTACTGTGACGCATGATACTCGTGATTGTAGTGGACTGGATCATGCAACAAACTGTGAGGAGGGAGAAGAGGGGGATACGCTGGACCAGGGAAAACATCCTGAGAGATTTGGATTTCGCCGATGACTTGTGCCTAGTTTCACACAAACTTGAAGATCTACAGGAGAAAACTAACAAGTTGACAGATAAGGCAGGGCAGTGAAGACGGGATTCCAAGTGAACGTAAAGAAGACAGAGGTGAGAAGACACCTAACCAACATCAAGCACCAATCACTATCAACGGGGGGAATATAAAGGAAGTAGCCTCTTTCACCTATCTAAACCGCACTGTTTCAACTACAGGTGGCTGCACAGACGAGGATGTCAAAGCCAGGATCGGAAAAGCAAGACAGGCGTTCACTAACCTGAAAGCAGTGTGGAGATCTGCACTCAGCATTAACCGTGAACAAGATCCGGATCTTCAACCCCGACGTCAAGTCAGTGCTGCTATATGGTTCAGAAATGTGGGGCGTAACGAAGAGCATTTCCAACAAACTACAGGTAGTCATCAACAACTGCCTACGCTCGTTACAGAAGCTCCGATGGCCAGAAAGAATAAACAAGAAGGAACTGTGACTGGCAACGAACCAGCCAAGAAGGTATCACTCAACAAACATGCAGAAGGAAGTGGAGACAGACTGGGCATACACTGAGAAGGTTGACTAGTGGCATCACGCATCAGGCCAGGCCCTCGAGTGGAACCCAGATGGGAAGCGATGGGTTGAGCATCCGAGGGTGACATTGAGGAGACGGTGCGACGAAGAAATGAGAGCTTGTGGGCCGTCGTGGAGCCAGGTTGAAAAGTTTGAAGAGAGCAGAATTGGATGGAAGCGTGTTACTGAAGCCCTATGTTCCACTAGGAACCCAAGGGACAAATAATAATATAATAGGGTTGTTCGGGAGGAAGCTGTCTTGACGATATGTTAAGTTTACGTTGCTGAGGTGCACAACTCACTACATGAATAAATATTGTTTCAACGCGTTAATTAATTAGCAGTTAGTCTTTTCCAGAAGTTGATTTCTGGAATTTTCTGACTGTTTTCCAGAAAAATTCGTAGCGACTTATGAATTAAATAGCGCTGTGAATCATGTTTATTCATGATATGCAACAAGAGTTCTATTTGTCACCAGAGGTTGTACTCAAAAGTGTGCTGCAGGCTTCTCACATCTACAAGTTTCAATTCAGCCCTCAACCCAATTGCTATTCTAAATTACCTTTGAATAAAAACCAATTAAATTAATAAAAGTTCTTTCAGTATCAAACAACATATGAACGCACAATGAACTGTTTAATCAGACAAGACAAAGTGGAGATATAGAAATCGTAAATAACAAATGCATTTCACAAGTAAGAATCCATTTTAAAAATTTGACAGTGTGCTGATGATGAATAAAAGCAGGAGTAAGAAAATGATACGGAAATTCTTCAAAAACTGTTGACAATAAAATTGAAAGAAAACAAATAGTATGCAAATTACTTTTCTCTGATTCGTTGAAGCAATTAAAAGTGTAAAATGTGTTTCGAATGAGGCGCAAATGACCTTGCGCAATTGTAAGTGGATAAACGAAAACTATTAGACAAAACAGACAGCTTTTTGTCTGTAGAAGAGTGTATTTACAAAATTATATGTAGGAGGATCGGGTAATAGGTCTGTTGCTTAAGCTATTATTAAAGTAGGCATAGTGAGAATAATGGCAAAGATGCAAATGAAGTTGATTCTTTTCAACCGGTATGAAAGAGAATTCTTTTGGATAAAATCAAAAAGATTGTATCTCTTGTTATCAGAATAACATACATAAGGTAGATAAATTCTTCAAATACTATACCAAATTATTTTATTTCATTACAACGGAAACAATACCAAGAATTTTACACTGATTTTGTACAAATTACGCTACAAAAAAAGACGACAGAATTGCTGATTACTGACGGTGAAAACTCATACTAGTTGAAAAATCTGTGAATGTCTCCTAAACAGTCAACTATTTATTAGTTAAAAATGCCACCTATTCTAACTGACAGAGTTCAGTGTGGGAATATACATTGTAGTTGTATTGGGTAACAGCCGAATACCTAATCCACTGGAAGATTTACAAAGATCTATTCTTGACTCTTGAATTCCTATTGATGTGCTGGGTAGATTGGTTACTGGTATCAAATTCGTAACTGGTGTGGCTGTCCCTGTTGAAGTGTTCACTGACTGACGCATTGAACCAAATTTACCTTTCATAACTGTGTTTTCTGGACTAGAATTATGATTACTTGTAGGAGTATTAACTGACTGATGAAATAAATCAAAAGAATCTGGTGCACACATTTTAGACAAGTGTTCTTTGTGACACGTGAGATAACTGTTCACATTCAGTGCACCTGGACAATTCTGGCGTAGAGATAGATTTGATTTAGAAGTTTCAGATTGGCTTTCTGTGCCATTAATGCTACTGTTATTGTTAGTGTTATTATTATTCAGTTGTTGGAAATCAACTTTATTATCTATAACCTGAGAATAAGGGAATACTTGTTCATTGGGATATATGGATGATATAACTGGTGTATCAGAATACCAGTTCTGTATTTGATTTAAACAATCCTTAAATGTTGGACGTCTTTCAATTTCTTCATTCCAACAGCTAGTCATAAACATATAGACATTGGTTGAACAGTGTTGTGGACAAGATAATAATTGTCTAGAACGTATCAGATCTAATACTTCTGGATCGGTAAACGCTGAATAAGGTCTCATGCCACCAGACCAAACCTCCCACATCAATACTCCAAATGCCCAAATATCTGATTCGATTGTAAATTTACCATATATAATCGAGTCAAGTGGCATCCAGCGTATCGGTAGCATTAGACTATGAGGATGTAGACGATAATAGTCTGCTGCGTAACAATCGCGGGCCAAACCGAGATCAGTAATTTTGCAGGAGAGTTGGTCATTTAGAATTATGACATTTCTTGCTGCTAAATCACGATGAACAAAACGATGACTAGATAAATAATCCATCCCAGCGGCAACTTGAGACAATACCCTCCAAATTTCGGATTCACTAAGAGGATGTGGTATACTAGTTGTCATACCATTTGGATAGGTTACACTTGTCAAGTTGATCTGGTTCACCATAGATCTTCTTGAAGATAAAAGTTCACATAGATCAAGATATTGTCGAATTTCAAATATCATACACCATGGAGGATGTTGAACACTAACTCCTAGAAGGCTTAGCACATTTGGATGGTCCAATTCAGAAATTAAATTGGCTTCTCTAAGGAAATTTGCTTGCAAACTGGCTGGCGAACCAGCTGATAAAGTTTTAACAATGACTGACATTGGATGACCATTTTCGTATGCACTGTTTGGTAGTAGTTCAGCCTTATAAACTGGACCAAAAACTCCCTGTCCAAACTGCTTTCCAAACCTTTTTAGAGAAAATAATGATATACTAATAGCTTTCTAGGAAGGAATGTGAACTAATTTAAGGTATTAAATGAATATTAGGAAGAAAATCACAAAGAGAATCTTTACTTCTTTAAGTGCACCTCATCATTTGAGAACCGTTAGCTGCCTGTGGTTATGAGCCTTAGTTATATTTGGAACTCACTTTTCCTGAAAATAAGGCGAATTATAATTGTTAAGGACTGAGAACGAAGAGCATTCAATCACATATCTGTTTAAAACTGATGAAACAAAGTTAAGACCAGTTATCAAATATACGTTGAATATCCATTCTACCAATGTAAACTCTTACGCTTAACGAAGCTACCTACTTAGTGGATCACTATGACTTGATCACAAGACTCAGGTTGATAGAATTCCTTGTAATTTCATCGGTCAATAAAATTCATGAGCTTTTGCATCTACTGCATGCCTTTATGACTGACTGTTTTCATCCTCTTATAATCGTCTAATGCATATGGATATATTTCTTGCATTTATAATTCTATTGGTTGTACATTACCTGAAGTCATGTGTTCACTGCGTCTTTTTACTAGTGCTTGCAGATCCAATGAACTTTCTACTTGGAAAAAAGATATGATTGAAGATTATTTTCCAAATGTTCTTATTGCGCTTTTGATCATAGCATTGGGATTAAAAAGTTCCGCTTTTGAAATAGTAGGAAAACTTGTAGCTCAGGATGTGAACGATAATTGTTTGGTGTTTTCTGAGCTTTGAGTTTTTGTCTTGGATGTTTTGTCACCGAGATATATGCATCAGTCAGAATTTACTTCCTTATAAAGTTGCCTAGCTGGGTGAAGATACGTCTAAGGGCAAAACTCACAGCTTGGAGAGCACCAAATAATTGCCAAAGTTCAGTCTTATTTTGCTTGACCTCTAAGGCCAATCTATGCAACTTCTGTTCTGTCTAGACTATCACCTCTTCTGTATAACCCTAATATTGAAGTATATATATATATATGTATATATATATATATATATATATATATATATATATATATATATATATATAACCTTCTCAATCACTTTAGACTGCTTGATGTAATGGATTAGCTACGCCAATATCCAAAATTATGCCTAAGTGCTATTGCACTTTGAACACTACTTATAAGATATGTAAAAGTGAAAAACTCATTAAAAGTCACTAGATATTCAGTCGGTCCCAAAAAAGGATGTCTTCATCAGTCTTTTGTACAAAGGTGACTCTCATAGTCCAATCCTCAAGCACAGACTTAACGCTGGTGTTAGAGGGACTTACTATGCAACCAGGATTCGAGTTATATAAACCTCCACAGCATATGAACGATAATGTTACATCCCGTTGTATCTACCAATTCAGATGTACCTGTGGTGAAGCTGAACATAGGGAGGACTAATAGGTCCATGCAAGTAAGGGCCTCGGAACATATTCCAAAATGGCTTCAGAAGAAAACTAAATCACCTGAACCCATAAATGTTGGTAGCAGACATTCAAGTTTTTCGATCGTCAGACATATCGTTGAGATAGGCCACAGGACTGATGTGGCTACTTCCTTTACACCTATTTACAAAACATGTTGAGGAGGGATCCTTAAATTTGTTGAGGCCTCAGCTATTAAAAAGTTGAAACCACCTTTGTGTGTTCGTAAACAATTTGTTGTCACATTAAATCTTCCTTGGTAAATTCAACTATTGAAAACCAAGTTTAATGTACTATATTTTTTTGATTTATGGATTTCATTGTTATTCGGCCTCTAATTCAGCCTTCCTACCTGACCTATTTATATTTTCTCACCCTTTGTCTTCATGAATTTTTACATAAATACATATGACAAGTACGTGTGTGATCAGATCGAAATGTATTGCGCAATTACATTACACGGTTGAGAAAATTTACGTCTTCTTATTGTTTTGTCGAAAAGTCAATATTACTGACATGTTCAGAAAATTTAGTTTCAAATAGAAGTTGACCCTGTTCATAAAATTATCTCACTTTCTCTCCTATTATCCTTAACTTTGACGCTTATCTAACCATTTGCCGTATACATTGCGCCGATGTGACTGAACTAAGACAACGACCATTAAATCTCACAGATGAATTTCATTTACGTTCAAATCCATTTCACCTGGTAGAATAAATACGACATTTCTGAAACTATTAGTTAACTGATTTTGCTGTCTGTGGTTTAAACCTACATGACCCAGGAGTTAAGTCAGAAACTTTATCGCTAAGCTATTTCAGTCATGACTGATTTCACATGAGACTGCAAGATGTAAAAACACCGGTCATATGGTGTTAACTGGTGTAGGTATCACGCTCCCACTGTTCAGCACTAACCGATGTAGGTTTGAATCCCTGAGAAATTATCAGTTGCCGCATAGTTGCAAATACATCTTCGGGATGAGGGCTACTTGTCGAATGACTTTTAACATGTAACACCAAACTACAGTGCACCTTAGAGTAGTATTAGTTAGCTTAGTGGCCATATTGCAAATTCAGTCGATAGACTTCGGTAAGTTGCGAACACCTAGGACTTGATAACTACTTTGGTCACCATTTAAAGTACAGGGACGAACATCGATTTTGTCCCACTCAGAGATGAAGTGTTTTAGACAATCAATAATAAACTTGAGTTTACTTCGATGATGAACTCTCTCAATACACTATTTGGTTTTTATGTGTTTTGATTACATTTAGAATTTGATAGGTTTTGTAAGTTACCCAGACAACTGGAATCCGATTGTAACTGAATTAATTTATTATTAATCAGAGTGATGAAAATAATGGGAACATAACTTATTTAAGGGAGGGATAATACCTAAAAATGACTGACCTACCTAAGCTGAGAGATCGGATATTCTATGGCTTTCATAGGTTGGTCATCCAAGTTCATCTTCAAAAACATTGCAGGATTTTGCGAAGGATTGTATGAGTTTATTGAAGCAGCAGCATCGCTTACAAGGAATTCATTAGGACTAGCATTTCGGAGCGTTGTATAGGCCGTTGGACTTTCGGCATCTCCATGTATTTCATAATGTATCCCAGACTCTCGATTCATATCGCCATTTCGGGGCATATGAATAGATTGATTGAAGGATTGTATGTTATACGACGTATCTGTCATGTTGAATGGAATAGAAGTAACTATGTTTGCTGAGACGCCAGTTTGTGATTGTGTTGTTATGCTCTGGGTTCCCGGAGGAGGTGGGGCAGGAGCCCTAGGTGGGGGTATCTGTGGATTAAGGAAGTTCGTAGCTTGATATTGAAAGTAAGTTGCACCGGTATTGTGTTTACCAGATGTAACTGCAGAAAGTGAGGCGTCATTTTGTACACCATTTGTGCTCTGAGGATTTGAAGAGACACTATTATGCCCAACTGTAGCAGGTGCACTCATAGCATTCGCATCAATTGTGCTGCAGACAGCATTACTACCACTGTAAGCAGTTGTGTAGGCCTCGTGCATACCGTTTAGAAGACCATTTGGTGCACCAAGCTTTGCACCGGCACCCATTCCAGGAACCCTTCTCTGTTTACTGTTGTGGTTGGAGTCATTTGGAGCACCTACTCCTTGCCCTCTAACAAGAAATCCATTTAGCCGTTCAGCCTGTGAACAGTTGCGATTACCTCTACAGTTGCTGCGAATACGTGATCTTCCTAGAAAACTTGAGCCATCTGTTGTCAGGCGTGGAGAATCCCCTGAACTGTGTCGACAAAGAAAACAAACAGCTAGAAGAAGAAGACCCAATAAGGCTAGTGCTCCAAATGAGACGAATATTGGCAGCAAATCAGGACCAGTTGACAACGCAGCGTTCAAATCTTGACCTGATGACAATGGACCACTTTCTTTCCTCTCCACTAACTGATCAGATGAATGTGCAGCTACACGATGTTCTTCCCAGAATTCTCGACTACTGTCATGTCTATATTGTGAAGCTGCTGGAGTTTAAATAAAAAATTATTCAATTTTAATTAACCTATGTCAAAAGATTTGATTTAGCAGAAGTCCAAAAGAATACTGGTAACTTTTCTGTCTTACCAAAGTGAACGGCAACATGCAAATAATTTGCATTGTTGTTTAAAATAAGTGGAGTTTTTCACCTTCGGTTAGTGCGATGTAACTAATTTGTTATAGGATGCCTAAAATAAGTCGTGAAAGAGTGGACAATTTACCGTAATTAATACAATAGAGTTTTCCAAAGAAGATTTATGAGCTTCAGCAAGGTAGGGGTGATGCAAAATATTTAAAGCTAACTCTTACCAGATTGAAAGGAGATGAATTCAAGTTAGGCAATAAGAAAACACTTCTGATTGTGAATATTATTATCAGTTCACGCCAGTAAAGAAAGCTTAAAATAAAGTTTGAAAAAACCATAGAAAGAACTAGTTTAGATCACAGACCAAGCATTTTTACTTTAAGTTTGAAAGACCGTACGAATTTTAAATTTACACCAGCAGAGAATTGAACGGAATGCCATACGCTTCATGGCAAAGGCTATTTCACCCGTGCTCTATAAGTGACCTTATCATATATGGCATTCCTAAGCAAAATGTTAGTATACCATTGAATAAACCTCTATAAAAGCTGTTTCCTCTTGTATTCATATTGGTGACTCACAGTAGAATCCAGGATGTACGTTTTATCCTATTTAGCACTCGCTAGCCGGATGCATCTGCCTAGTGAGTAACGTTTGGATTTATAGGTGATAGGTACTGCTTTCGAGACGCAGTGGGAATGCGATCACTCATTGTGGTACAGGTGTATGCAACCGAAGAGTTCCAAATAGGATGAAACGTGCGTCCTTGATTCCGTAACGAGTCACCAAGATGAATGAAATATCATGAATATTCAGAAATATTGAGGCATCCGCATAGGAGCCCACATGTCAACACAGATCAAGCAATTCGACTCTGTATAGCAGCGGGAAATTATAAGTATCAAACAACAACCATTTACTGTTGTTACAATTTAATATATTCAAACCCTGATTACGGTACATTACCTATTCAGGTTGCGAATCTTTTCTTATCACTGCTATAGCATTATTTGCTGCCTGCTGTAAGATGTATTTCAGAATCCATTTGAATATGAAGGACTTGAGATGATGGAGAATATTTGTAACTGAGGCAGGTGATTTTTGTAGTGTGTTGTGTTCTACGAGTTGTATAGCTAAATTCTTAATATCCTTATTGACAGAATCAGTTAGTTGGGATGACTCTGTTCAGCAAATCAATGAAAGTTTCTAGAGCCAATGACCCAACCCAAAGGACGTAATACCGAAAGACTATTGAAACTTCATGTTCCTTTTATGCTACTATGCCTAGAAAAGCGGATTCATTCTATCATCTCTCAAAATAAGATGAGAAGTGTAGTTCGATAGTGATGGTGCTTCTTCTGTTTCACTATGATAAAACAACGTCCCGTCTCCATATTCTTCTACATCTAGTAGAGTATTGAGGCTTAATTGATGATGTCAGAGATTTGTATGTGAACAGAGAAGGAACAACGATTGGAGCAGAATAAAAAATAAAATGGTACAATATTATTCTACTGCAATCGTTGTTTTTTCTCCATTCAGCCTCATAAAGGCGAATATATGTAGGAAATTGTATGTAAAATGGTTGGTTGACGTGGCACTTGTTTTCTCAGAGCGCATAGCTTTTAAAGTTCTCTTCTGATAGTGATCGTTTTCTTATTTGTATCTTAAGTTTCAGGAGTTGTGAGCCATTAACAGTCAAGAGTTTTCGAATATTTCCATTAACTAAAAATAAGTGAATTGACTTACCTTGGTCTGAAACAACCAAAGGTTCTCCTATACGGCGGCATGTTTGTGGATTTTCTGGTGAATAGATAGGGAGATGTGAGCAGTCCATTACCATTCCTGGTACTAAATTTTGGAAAAGAGAAATTTTGAAAAAGTTATCATTTCTGATACAATGTGTCTTTAATTTTCTCAGCTCTGATAAATATAGCAATTTAAAACCGTAAAAGGATTAAAGGTGCACACAGTTGATTAGGCGGAAAAAGTTGGCGCTTCGCTTGGTCATTTATTCGCTCTTTTCATAAACTTTTTATTTTCTCTGTCTCTCCTTGAACATTTTTCTCCCTTTATATTTTGGCATTTTTGTATCTACTTATTTTCGTACTGTTGTGAAGTGTAGCTACTTGAAATGTTGTGCTTTGTTCAAGACTCTGAAATAGCTTACATTTATATTGGTATTTATTCATGATTACTGATTTTGGCCACATTATCTGACGAGCTTTTGAATTGCGGAAAAAGTGCATTATGGCATTTGTTTTATAAGTGATTATAAGCCTGAGCTCATGTCTTGCTGTTGCTCCATCTAATGATAGCCTAAATAAATATGCTGTAAGTGGCACTGAGTGCTAATATCAACTACCCCAGATTTTATGTCTAATATGTGTCAGGAAAGACCAAGTCTGCAGTAATTTATTCAACAAAGCATCGATAAAGAATGGTAAATAAATATAGTGAACTTCAATTAAAATGAATCCCAATGAGCAAAACAAGCAGTTAAGCTAGCTTTGAGAAAAGGATTTGGTTGAAATTTCAAAAGTTATTCGGTCAGTAATTTCAAAGTGTCTCAGAAATTATTGACATTACATGCCGTGTGAGAAATGCTTCCAAAAAGCAAGCAGACTTATCTTAGTGTTAAAGCCAGTACTATACAGACTTTTTAGTCGGGAGGGAGGTGTTCTTCACTCTTCATTCAATCAAACATAATCACCTAAATTGTTTTTTTCTTCGATTAGATTAAGTAAACGATCACATTTTAAACAGTTTTTTCACATTGAATAGGTATTCAAGATTAACAAAAACAGTCACTTCTCATGTTGGTTTGAATACATTAAATTAATAACACTCCACCTTTTTAGCAGATGATAACGAAAACTAATCAAAGTGCACTGATGTCGCTAGTCTTCTAGCTGGCTGGCCACAATGCAGAATAATCGATAGAATTCTGTCAGTATTCAGGACTAGACAACATGAAACTGATTTCCCCCCAGTGACGAATCGATTTATCTGAATTATAATTGCAAATAAAGCATTTATGAAAATCCCCAAAGAAGCTTGATAAAGCATCGCTTACAGTCATGCAGTATCTTTCTTTCCAAATAATCATAAGTTGGCCCACATTCATTTTGCGTCACAATCTCACAATCTTGCCGGCATAAATGTCGTGTTTGATATGAATGAGTTATAGAATTATCACTTATTGATTGTGTTTCACTTGATACTATTTCGTTTTCAAATGACACTGGTTTCATTTCTAAGCACACAGGAAAGTTATAATAGCATATTGCCTCCATTAAGCGTCGTAGACAATCCTCTCTTACACGGTGCAATGACTGAGTTGCTGTAAGTTTCAAAACTGAAAGATCAAGAAAAAACAACTATTAAAGCTTTTTAGGATGATCTTTTATAATACTTATGAATACGAAAATATAAAAATTAGTACAGAGCCAATAGATATTGCATTTTTAGCAAGTATGAATGGTATTTTCACGAAATCCCAACAGTAACTTTAATCTGTCCATCTACCACAACCAACATGTGCATCGATTACCACAATTAATAGTCAGATCTGCCGGTCATTTGCAAGCATAAGACATAGTGTAGTAGTAGTCATAAAAGCAATATGATAATTTACAGAATTCTTATAAATTTAGTTCTTTACTTACCACGAAAATAGGTATTTACGTCAAAATGTTGCCTTTCAAATTTCATGATATGAATTAGATGAAAACTTCGTGTGACTCGGGTAATATGCAAATCTAACTTATATAAAACCCACCGGAATTCGTATTGCCTACGAATGAAACCATCCTTCTGAACTGTTTCCAGTCAAGAGCATTCGCAGAAAAAGTTTATCAACGAAAGTAGTTGTCAAACAAGAGTTTTGAAATACATATTATCAACTAAAATCGCTGTTGGTTTCAAATCAAGTGTCAGATAAAGGTAGCAATGCGAATCAAATGTCAAGGTGTCGTAAAATGTCCATAAACTCCAGCTGTAGTGTGAATCAAAACCAAATGATAGTAGCGACAAATCACTGCCAAATATTAAACCTTTTTAATTTCCACTATTTTAATTTTTGTGCACTCTACCTTATTACTTAATAATTTTGAGTAGGTATACATTTTGAATTAGTTTTCAAGTATTGAAGTCAACCAGCCGAAATCTTTATTTATAGTGGGTGCAGTATTAGAACAAACGAACTATTTTAAATACTACCCTTCCTGCTGGACCTACATCAGTCTTGATGAGCTGTTTTGAAACGAACGAGGTATGTCGAAACATTTGAAGTAAACCACCTATTATATCACTAAAGTATATGTGGTTAAATAGTTACTCAATTAGAATAGAAATACTGGTAATAACTTTCTTCTGGAATTTCGTAATCAGAAAACATGAAATATAGTTTGCTGAACTCATAGAAAATTCAAGTATAAGTATGTTGTAGGATGGGTTTGTTTCCTTGTTTAGCACCAGTGAATTGTATAGCATATGAGTGAGTAAATCGTTAAGTATGATTTATTACTACAGTTTGTGGTTATTGTGCTTTGGTGAGAAACTATTGTGGACTGGCTTTAAGTTGTGTAAATTGGTTCTTCCCACTCAAATAAAGCTCTGCTTCTATTATTATTATTATTATATAATGAGTAAGTTCACGTAGTAATTATGAATTTTTCTTAAGTATAGAGGCAGTTTGTAAAACACTGCATGATTACAAATTCCATGGTATATATACCAATTATTCTTAATTGTGGTGAGAACAAATTAGCAAACTGGCTAGTTGTATTTCCGAGTTTCTTTCAACAGATGTTCATTTTCTAGCAATTCAGCCTGCTTATCTTGTGTTTTTCCGGTTGACAGCAAGTACTATTGTGGCGAACTTCATAACATTATCGAAATTTTGTCAAAATTAAGTGTCAGAATGACTGTTTTGAAACACTTGCATAACTTTACATGGTGCAGTTCATTGTCAGTTATAATTCTGCTACATTTGATTGTGGATACACTTGAACAACAGTGTTTAAAATCCCCTTTTCGTAATACATATACAGAAATGTGATGTAGAGTGGTGGTGTAGAGTCTCACTTCTAAACCAGTTCATTAGTATATAGCCTACGACGGTTGTTTTCAAAATTCTATGATTGTAGTTATCAAAGTGAATTTGTAGGGAAATCTGATAATATAATCTACCAGTCAACTACTTACAAATGAAAGAAATATGAAAAATTTAGATTTGAGTACTAGGCTTAGACACACCCATTGTGTTAAGCGGTGAATAGAATATGCATTGGTAACTGCAAATAATGTATTCACTCTACTTTGCCATAAATCCGTAGTCAGTTGCCAGCATAAGTAGGAGTATTTCAAGCTGAGTAATGAAAAAAATATATTTGCGCAAGTTGTTTTCCCCACAGATTCACTAAACATTAGTCAACTATAAAAATGCTTGAATATGAATAAGTTATGGGATCATAGTTTTAAACAAACATTCTTTCAGTTTCTTACTCTATCACACTATTTTTAAGGCTGATATATATATATATATATATATATATATATATATATATATATGAAGCGTTTAGAAATGACCTTTTAAATGAGCTCTCGTTTGTTCAAATCACCCTTGGAATGTAAATAGTTTTCATCAGGTTTTTGGTCAGATTATTCTATCACCATACTTTTCAGTTAACCCCTATTTGTCTTTATGCCATTTGACAAAGAAAGGTTCATCAATGCTAAGTTCTTTAGGAACTGAAAAAATTACTGAGACAGTAAATTAAGGCCTAGAGTTAGAGAAGCCAAGGAGCCACCAAACAACTTGAGTATCTTATTCCGAAGTTTGAGTATTGACGTTATAAACTTCATGATCAGTTTGCAAGGTAAGAGTAATTATTGAACCAGTTAAACTTGAAGGAGTACGTCTGCAGTCTTCATAACATGCTAACTGTTCACTAAAAGCCCCCTAATGTTCACCTCTGCCATTCGCTTCTTAGAAACAAATATCTTTTTTTGATTGTAATGTTTTCTGCACTAAAGCATTCCACTAACCTTATGGTGGTTTATTAATCACCATAAAATGGTATTATAACAGTTCAGGAGTTATCTGTAGAAGGTCTCCACCAACTGTACAAGCATTCAACGCTGATAATTACTGATTAGCCATTTCGTATATAATCTTTTGGATACAATGAGTTAGTAGCTAAAAATGATAGCGTTTTTGAAATCATCTATATGTTAATTACCTATTGTTTAGTATGAATGTGAGGACAATTAAGGTTTTATGACTGCTGAATACTCTTGATTTCTGGCAGAATAAATCAACAGGTAGGTCAGTGATTATTAGCTTCCGAAATGTGTATCACATTACTAAATTATGCCATGGAAAAGCTTCTTATTGAACGACATTCACTATTTAATTTACCAAATTTATGTAAATCAGTAAAAGTGAAATACATCGAATCTTCTGTTCATAAAAATATTAATTTTGATTTGTAGGTTAGATGAAAACTGCTTATGGCTTAGGAATTTATTTATTTCCCTATTCTGCACTACTTGGAGCTACGATAATACTAGTAATATTATATGCAAGGGCCTTGTGTTCTGTATGAGAAGGAATTCATATTTATCTTGCTCAGTAATCTTAAATGTAAAAATGGCATTCATTATTTGCTTCTCAGTTAATGAGAAACTTTCAGAGACTGCTTTTCAATCATTTCTGTTAAAAAATAGCTACATGCATTTTCGGATTATCATACATCTAATACAATAAAAATGATGCCATGTTTTTAAACATATAGTTCTTCTTTGAAATGAAAATGAAGCCTGTTTTGTGGACAACTTATGGTAATGTTGAGTAATTTGAATAAAATGAATAATTTTAGAAATCACCTACCTATCCGACGTTTCAAATACAAAGACTTATATAATGTCTTAGGGATTCTAGTATGTGAAGTTCACAGATTTATTAACCATCTGTTTAATGTTGATTAGCTATATGGTGATCTTAAAATTTAGTAGGTATAGTTGATGACGTGGTCCAGTAAGTTAGGAATATCGTTTGAATTAACACACTAGGAACAGGCGGGTAATGAAGTCCACCAGGAAGCCAATGTGGTCGTCAAGTTAGAAAAATTGCATGATAACAGGAGAGGAACTAAAAGTTGGTTTAAAGTTACATCTCATTTTTCAGATATTGGTTAACTAGGTCTGAAATTCAAAGATGTTTAGTCAGAAGCTAGCTTTGACTCCAATTTTTTTAATCTTATCTTTGTCCCTCTATTTTATAGGTTTTGTATGGATAATTTTCATTATCTGGTTATTTCAGAAAGGTGATTTGGGTGTCACCTACATAGCATCACTGTCGTAAGAAAGAAACTTAATCAGCTTGAAGGATATGTTAATTGATGTATACACAATAGTTTATAAATATTAGGTGCATCACTTTTGTAATCATCAAATGTTTTATCACGGTGTTAGTTTTGATTAATTTTACTGTAAGAATTCTAATTTTTCTTTTGATTTGTTCACCTGAACATTGTGCACTGAAGTAAATCCATTCTAGTTAATTGTAGTCTGATGCATAGATATGCTTACAAAATTCTGCTTTACAGTTTACCTGTAACTGAGAGCCTATGGAAAAAAACATCTGTGTGATCTTGTTTTAGGATATCTATCATTGTTAATGAGAGGTTGCCAGTAGCTAGTATTTAGTGCTTCTCTAGAAACCATGTCTAGTATGCAAAAATTTTCAGTAACCTGAATAATCTAGCCTGTATGACTGAACTTCTTTGTAGGCTTATGATTAGACTGACACCGATCATCCACTTGAGCTCCTTCTGGATATACACAGTAAATGTTCTTATCTTCTTGAGTAATTTACACTAACGAAAAAGGGCAAAATAGCAACAGAACATGTCAGCAAACTTTATCTCAAGGAAGAAACTCACAGGATTACCAAAAACTTAAGTGTGATCCAGAATAAAAGTGAACAACTGAAATGTAAACTTATGAAGATAGTAAACTGCAGAGACTATGAATTTTCTCTACAAACATGGGATAAAGTGAGATCAGCTGCATTCAAGAAATCCAGAAGCAATCCAATCAAAAAGTCCAACAGGTTGATACAAGAAAAATATCCGTCAGAAGATGATCAAACTACAAATGAAACATCATCAAACATCGGTAGAACAAAGTGGGTAGTCAGTCTCTCTTCGAGAACCCAAAGTTCAACTGAGACGAAAGTACTCGAAAAAGGATTAAACTTCAACATAACAATAGGTCATTTAAAGCCAGAAGATGTCATACCTAGTACAGAAGTAGCGTTAAGCTTGACGGATGAAGCAGCTGCTGAACAGG